AAAAAAAAAAAAAAAGGCAACCACAAAAAACCACGCCGTTAGCTAGTTCATTCCTGCAAAGGGTGGTCTTGAAGAAATGGAGATTTTAACGGAGAAAGGGCGGCGTCTGCTGTAGGGGACTTCCAATCACAGCGAAGTAGTCCAACATCTGTAGTCTGGTGAATGCTGTCCTGCCCGTCCTCGCCAAGGTGTACCTCCACATATGTCTTCACATTCACCTGCACCTTTACACACGGTACAGAAAAACCAGATGATGCGTAGTCGCATCTTGCTAACGGTGGGTTTTGCAGCACATTTACCGTCTGTGGTGTTTCTGCCATTAAAACCTTCTGTGCTTCTTCCATATCATTGGAATGAGGCGCATGTGAACTCTCAGCAAATAACACGGGAAAAGTGAGTGGTTTGGCCTCATTATTATTATTATTATTATTATTATTATTATTATTATTATTATTATTATTATTATTATTATTATTATTATTATTATTATTATTATTATTATTATTATTATTATTATTTTCTTTTTGGACTTCACTATCCACATCATCTGCATCAAGTGGAGAGGTTCCACAGAGGGTTACTTTATGCAAACGTTCTCCGCATCTTTCCGAACAAAAATCATCACTTAAAGGAGAACAGGGATCAAGAAACGGAGTTTTTTTGTTACGAACATTCCTTGGCCGATATGCTCGTATAGAATCAAATGAAAAAATACGTGTGTGTGGTCCACTCTTCTCTGCATTTGTGGTACCAATCGGATAGTCTCCATTATTTCGTCTAAACTCCCCCCACTCATTGTCACTATCGTGTGGACTAGTCACGAGGCTCACACTATGCACTTCATCTGTGTCTGTAACTCCTGCCGTGCTGTCCGCTTTTTCGTGTGTGCACTCATCATCGCCGAGGGGATCATTTCCCCGCGTAGCGAGAAACGGACGTGGACGCATTGCTTCGGCTGTGAACTCCAAACTTTAGATCTTTCCTATACTAACCAAGTATATGTACAGTGTGCGAGAAAACAATAAAGAAATAAAAAAAAAAAAAAAAATGATTACAACATTCTTAAAGAGTCAAAAGATCAAGTTCCACACTCGCACTTACACACAGAGAGAGGAAGAGGAAAAAAAAAAAAAAAAATCAACACTTCTACATACAAAACGTTTTTTTTTTGACAACGCTTTAAAATTCCTCTGGCGGATAATCACCGACCTCCACCTGGTCTGGCCGCAAAAACCCTCCATAGTTCGGTTGACATTGAAAAACACGTGTGCCTTTAACGCTACCATCACCTTTCCCAACAGGCTCATCAAACTCAACGCCAATCCAATAGCCAGGCTTCAGTAACGCTACGCGGCCCACATATCGAACAGTACCCAAACGATCACCTGGTTGACACATACAACGATCCCCAACCTTCATTGTTTCTGCCTTCTCCTTGTAACTATCTTCATTTAACTCTTTAGGAAGAGTAATACCAGATTTTTCCGCCTCCGCCCGTTGTTGGGCAATCATACGTTCCCGAAAAGCTCTGACATTATCTGCACGTTTACTGTACGCTTCTTCCGATATTTCGTACTTTTCAACTTGTGATACATCATCAAAATTATTGACTTGCGGTGTCGGTTGGAGGTCCACAACGTGGATAACATAGTCGTCCTTACACTGGTAGTACCCCAGCTGCTTGTCATCCCGCATATCGGACTCTATTCTAACCCCGCGATCATCAATAAGCTCTAGGCGCATGAATTCCGGTGGTGTGGCAAAATGTGTTGCAATGTTAGTCTTTATACTCTCAATGGTTTGTGCAAGACCATAGCGTTTCTCAGGGACACGTATCTTACTCGAAGAGTGTGTGAGTGAAACTCGGACAACGGACATTATTGGCTTAAGAAAATGTGATGTGTCGAGTTAGAAATTCAAAAAACAAAAAAAAAAAAATCAATGGTCCCTCCTTGATCTAATTTCCCAACCAATGTTACTCAATAAACATGAGTCCCCACAAAAAAAAGCAAAAGAAGAAAAAAAGAGAAAAAAGGATAAATAGTTACAATACAAAAGTATATATATATATTTAATATTCTTTATTTATTTTTTTCTTCATTAATTCTATTTACAAAATATCTTTTTTTTTTGTTTTTGTTTCAAAACTGCACTCAGAATACACGAAGGTGCATTGTCATACGCAAACATACATGTGTTACATCACCTTCTCGTTCGCAATATATGCAGTGGATTGTTTTCTACATATTTTTCTTTTCACCGAGACATTTGTCTCCTTTTTTCTTTTTTTTTTTTTTTTTGGTTCATTCCATTTCACAGGTACTTGAGTATCTCTCTTCCTCTTTTTTTTCTTTTCTTTTCTTTTTCTTCACTTTCATTTTGATCGTCTCTGGAGTCTACATGTATACCTCTTGATTGATCCAGCATAAACTAATTTTTTTCTTTTTCATAACTCAACACCAGTATCCTATTTTCCCATCATTTCCACAGCTAACAATAAAACTGTTAGTTGCCGGGTCAAATACAGCACATTGTACACTGTCTTCATGTCCTGTAAGATCTGTCATGGCAGAGTTAGTAAGATCAATTAATTTAATAGTGGCATCATCGCTGGCGACGGCTAGATATGTACCAGTACGGTCAGAAGCAACATTGTTGGCTGGGTATGGACCACATGAAATAGTCAAACGTTGCTCCATTCGTCGTGTATCCCAAAGAACAACCACACCATCGGCATCACATGAAACCAAATCATCACTTGTACCAACCAATGAAACAGATTGAACCGCATTTCGGTGACCATACAATGTTTGTGAACAGCAGTTCATGCGACTATCCCAAAGTGACACAGTCTTATCACCACTACCTGTACAAAGCATATTAGTGTAAGGTTTCCAAACCACAGCATTTACAGAATCCACATGACCCCGAAGTGTTTGACGACATTTTCCAGTTGTAACATCCCAAATACGAGCTGTTTGATCAAGCGCTCCACTGGCCAAAAGAAGACCCGTTTCTTGAAAATCAATACACCAAACACCATCACAATGACCTTTTAATGTCAATTTACAGCCATTAGTGGCGAAATCCCATAGTTTTACAGTTTTATCACCTGATCCAGTGGCAACCATAGTTCCTGTTGGATGCATAGCCACAGATGAGATCCAGTTCTTATGTCCATCACCAGACATGACGAGCTCTCCTTGTGGTAATGCAGAAAGTCGCCAAGTTCCATCATCACTAGAGCTAGCAACTGCTGGTTTTTCAGGATGCATAGCAACTTTAGTTACAGCCATAGAATGTGCCTTAAAGGAAGACTGACACACCCACGTGGTTGGATCACTGTGAGGGGCAAAGGAACTATCCCCATGGGAAGGTCGAGGTCGCTCATCTGCAGGCCAACGGAATCCATCAGAAAATGCCTCAGCAGCACGCACAGCCGGACCTCCTGCAACTTTCGCACCAGGCTTAACAGCAGTAGGTTTAGATATAATCCCTTCTTTCTTTTTAGAAGCAACTTCTGATTTGGGGCGAGAATCACTTACTTCTTGTGATCGTAATTGTTCCTCTAATTTCTCTACTTGTTTCTCTAATCTTGATACCTTAGCCTCAAGTTTATCACGCTCTATTGATAATAATGTTTTATTCTTGTGAAGTGCTTCACATTTTTGGCGAAGTTCACTTAAAGTTGGGTTAACATATTCAGCTTGTTGTTGTGCCTGCTGAAGAAGTTTGGTAATTCTATTTTTCTCTTGTACCACACGGTTGTGGTTAGCACGATGAAAATCACGCTCTTTTTTTGCTTGCATATACAATTTTGTGGTTTTTGCTGTTAACTCTGCATGTTGACGAAGTTGATGTTCTAAAACATCAATACGGTCTTGAAGAGTTGCAGTTTCAAGATAATTATCTGCAAAAACTGGAGCATCCATTAGAGGTCTTGAACCGTACTTTTCATACCATTCGATTTCAAATACCTCCATCGTTTTATACATGCCATTTCGCAAAAAGAAATTGCGAAGAAAATCATCCGTGGATTCTGGAATACGTTTTAGGAGCGCACGTGGTGGTGGTGGTAAACCTCGTTCTCGTTGTTGTAGCACTGAACGCTGAAAAGTATCAAAGTCCACATCCTCCATTCTTGGCGTCAGATCTGTATTTAGTTCCAACTCTTCATCTATCAAATCCCCTTCTGGGAGGGGACTCTCTCTGGTAATATCAAGATTAGACGTCATATTCAAGAGTGCAATTCACTTATTCAGTTCTTCTCAATAAGTATAGCACAGCCCTGATTACCACCTAAACCTAATGGAGAAGATAAAAGGAAAAAAAAAAAAAAAAAANAAATTATAATGAACAGTCTGAGAAACAGTAAAGAATTCCAATGTAATGCCACAACTCTCTCCATTTTCTTACTTTCATAGATACAATTCAAAATCTCAATAAGTATAGCACAGCCCTGATTACCACCTAAACCTAATGGAGAAGATAAAAGGAAAAAAAAAAAAAAAAACAGTATAAGGGAAGAGCAAAAACAAAAAAGAAAAAAAGAAAAAAAAAAGAAACAAGTAATGTCTACATGGCAGGGAAAAAAAAAGTACAACATCTGAGGACATTAAAATAATGTTGGAATGTCACTGATGAAAATTATAAAAAGAAAAAAAAAAACATTAAAACCCTCACTTTGTAGAAGCATTAACAGTCATTGGTAGACTCCAATCAATAGGTTCATGTCCTAATTTCTCCAGGGCCGCATTACACTTTGAAAAAGGACGACATCCCCACCATTTTGTTGCACTTAAAGGGGAAGGATGGGCATTTTCAATAACAATATGACGTTTTTGATCTATTAAAGCAATTTTTTTTCTTGCAAAACCTCCCCAAAGAAGAAATACAATCGGTTTTAAATGTTTTTCAGAAAGTAGACGAATAACACCATCTGTAAAAGTTTGCCAACCACAATTTGCATGAGAATTTGCCTTGTGAGCCTCAACAGTAAGTGTTGCATTGAGCATTAAAACTCCTTGTTCTGCCCAACGTTGTAAATAACCATGAGATGGTGTCTTAAATCCTGGTATATCGGTTGTCAACTCCTTGTACATATTCACCAAACTTGGTGGTGGACGCACACCAGGACGCACTGAAAAACACATTCCATGTGCTTGACCCAAATTATGATAAGGATCCTGTCCCAGTAGCACAACCTTTAGTTCATTGAGTGGTGTACTGTTAAAAGCTGAGAAGATTAAATCTCTGGGTGGAAGAATGACTTTTCCACTTGCCATCTCATGTTCTATGAATTTTTCTATGTTATGAAAACTATTTGTCGTGATGAGGGGTTGCAGAAACGCAGACCACGCGGGATCACGAATAAGTGAGGACAAACTCTCACAAGGTTCATTGCGCACTTTAGTAGCATTAACGGACTCCGATACAACTTCTAACGTGCGCTTACGTGATGGTGGTGTATGCTGTTCATCTGTTTTTGCTTCCTTGTTCACATCCACACGTTCAGGACTTGTTTTCTTTTTTGGTACATAGTCAAATAAAGTACGTTGCACCATCACCCTAGCCCTCACCTTTTGACTACTTTTCTTCGTTTTATACACTCAATCACACACACACACAGAGAGAGAGAGAGAGAAAGGGGAAACTAGGAAAGGAGGGAAGGTGAAGAAAACGTGTCTTGTCCACACTTCTTTGTGTTCCAAACAAAAGTAATGAAGAAAGAAGAAAAACAGAGAGAGAGAAAAGTGATAAAAATACAATCTTCTCCATGAAAAATTTCCTAAAGTCATATAAGTTGAAAAGACAACATTAAGCAAAAGAGGAATGAATGAATAAATTCTTACTTCTTTTTTTCAAAAGGGAGAAGTGGAGGGTCCCTTTCAGATATACTCCTGATAAATATATATATAGAATGAGACTCTGAAAGAGAGGAATACCAAGCACATGTTGACCCTTCGCAAAAAAAAAGAAAAAAAAACGCAAACACAAATATTCAAATCCAGTAGAACTCAAGAAAATATCAATACAATAAGAATAGCCAGAAAAATCCTACACTTTTTTGATTCATGCACTATCAAGTGTGAGAAATACCTTCCCTTCCTTTTCATTCCAGTGCTGGATTACATAGCCATATGCCGATAGCATTGTAGTGATAAGTTCATCAATACTTCGTAAAAGTTCCCCCTGGTAACTTACCTCATTTCCATCCTCAGGAACAACCAAAGCAGGTAACTGAGGTACAATCACAATCTTATCGCCACTGCTACCTGAAACTGGCCAATGTACAAAAACAGCTTGTGGCAAAGTACGACGAAACAAAGATCTTTGGTACTCAAACCGATCGAGTATTGCCTTTTCCATATTTTGCAGTTGGAAAAACCTCGCATCATCGAGTAGTTGATCCCATTCATCAAAAGATTCTGGCAAAAGTAAAGATCCACTTCGCAGGAAATTTAAAACATATCGAAATGTCACCCCATCTCGGTCAATAACAAAACATCCATCTTCGCCACGTTTTGCCGTGCCATTCACTATAGGACCAAATATAGGGTGATCACTGAGAGACTGAAATGTAGCACGACGGGTGAGAAAAACAATCCCACCAACGTTTAAAGATACTTGTTGCGACCACTCCCCAGTAACATCAATACCAAGGTTTTTCTGAATCCAGCTCATTGCTTGCAGAGACATGCAAACAAGATTCTACACAAATAACTCAGATGAAAAAAAAAAAACACACACTAACACACCTGCGTGTTCCTCTTTTACTTGTAGTAATTGTCTTTTATTTTTTGCTTCTTTTTGTTACGGCTTAATGCCCTTCTACCAGAGTAAAAGAAAAAAAAAAAAAAAATAGAAACGAATAAAGAGCAAAAGCCAGACATCACACAATATCATCAAGACCAACTCACTGGACCTTCAAATTTAAAGAAAAAAAAAAGAAAAAAGAATCAAGAAAAGTTACGCTAACGAGAAAGACGCAAAAAAAAAAAAAAAAAAAAAATAGTAATAACAATAAACAAGTAATTACAAGAAGAAAAGGTGGAAAAAAAAAAAGAAGAAAAATGCATCTAGAAACGTCGACGATGATTTCGGTACTGTTGCTCAGACCATACATGAATCAACGCAGCATATGTTGCTGTGATTTCTTCCTTCTCTAGCGGTGGCAGTCGCTGCAGGACCTCACTAGCTAAAGCATTTTTTCCACATTGTTCCAGAACGGATATAAGAGTCGCATATGTTACTACATCGGGCTTAGGCGGGTTCAACACAGACATGTCACCCATATCTTCTCTTGCCTCAGCACTTGGTGGTGCCGTTTTTTCTGTTTCTACATTAACCGTTCCATCTAAACTTTTCACCTTATTCTCTTCCACTAAAGAAGTGATTTTGGAATCCAGCTGCTGCAGATTATTTGGTCCCATAGACCGTATAACTGCAAGAGCCCCTTCCCAATCAAGGGAGTTTTCACATGCGCTCATACAGGCATTATACCCCTCAACAGGTTGTTCTTCAGGAGGAATTCGCGTTTGTAAAAAGTGGAGGGCACGTTTCCACCCGTATAAACCCTCTTTGACATCCGCTTCCTTTGTTCTGGCTAGTAAAGAAACAGCATTAATCAATATTTGGGGTGATTGTTTGCGAAAAACTTCTCCGAGCTGTTCAACAAGATCCCATTGTTTTGCTGATGCACAGACGTCAAGAAGTACAGATAGGTGAGCAATATTAGCGGTGATGCCTGAAGCTTCTTTAGATTCTTCACCTTGTTTACGAAGAGTGAGGACAACACCACTATTATCATCACTCTGCCTAATTAATAACATCTTGGTAGCTTCATTAAACGAACGCAAAGCATCTTCCCAGGCACGCATTCGCTTGGCGGTGTGTAAATAAGTAAGTAAGTCTTGACTGTTACGAATAAGGTTATGTGATACATGTATTTTTGGTCTCTGCGCAGCAATGGCCTCTTCTTCCTTCTCGATGAGACTAAATAACTTGGCAGCTCCGGTATCACGTTTTACTTCAGTGTTTGAGGATGGAGACAAAGTTGATGATCCTAACGTTGCGTGGCTTGATCCAAGAGCCGTCATATTCTTTGTATGCTTTCGTGGAAGCCGCATGGACCGCGCCAGTACTTGTTCAAGTGTAAGTGGCGGCATACTGTGTAGTCCACTATATTTTCTTTGTTTGTTTTTCTTTTTATTTTGTATATATATATATATATATATATATATAACTTCTCTTCCCCTATTTCTTTTATTCTTCCTGGCGTTAACAACCTTTTCTTCCGTATTTCTTCGTTCCCTTTCACTCTTTTTGTTTCGCCACGTTCAATAAGGACCACCTTTCACCCCACTCTTTTCAGGGGTCACAAGTGCTTGGATAAAACCAGACCCCAAAGAGAAGAAATAAAAGAAACAAAACATAAAGGGCAGGGAAAACAATAACAAAAAGAAAAAACACTTTTTCTTTTTTTTTCTTTTTTTTTAATTATCTCTGTATACACAAGTGTAACGAATCTGGAGAGAAATATAGCAGAAAAAAATCCCACGAAATAATAATAACACTTTTGAAAGAAATCTCATTGCTGTTTGACTCAAGACAACATACTGAGTTTTTTCACTACACGTTCAAGCTGCTCATCACCACTCGCAGCCTCTACAGATCCAGCCCGCGTTGGAAATGCAGCTCGCAGCAAATGCTCCACGCGGCTCGGTATTTTCTCCACAGTGAGACAGAATAACATGGCAACTTCTAATGTACCATCCTCATACGCTTGTTGGAATAAGAAGACCCAGTCACTCTCTGTACCACCGCGTGGAAGCTGAAAAAGTGGCATAAGACGCTCCACACGGCTTTTAGAGATACATCGGCTAATAAACTCTCGCGTCCATGATAACGCCAGAATACCTTCAGGAAATTCAAACTCCTCCAAGAGATCCAGTATATCCTGCTGCAACTGCCGTTTCCCCTCTGATCCTGTCCCTTTGGCGGTTAAAGCATTCATCACAGTTTGTACATGTTGAAGAAGATCTAGAATAACATCTTCAAGTCGATCCAGTTTACGTCGAATAAATGGCATAGTTAACCTCATACTCCCTACTCTTTCCTTTTCCATTTGAAGTTGTAATTCTCTCTCTCCTTTAGAATCGCAAAGACCTTCCATTGTCGTCTTAAACCGTTCACGTTCAGCCTCCATTGTCCACTGCATTAATGTGAAATGATGTTGAAGTAAAATTCGTAAGCAAGTTAAGTAGTCAGGAAGAGAATCAAAAAGACTAGATCTTGCAGTTTCGTACAATGCTAAAATCAAATCTGCCAAACCATCTGCTAGATCTTTAAGAGAAAGACGCGTCAATTCACTTCCAACATCTCGTAGAATTTGATATGCTGTACCCTGCACATTACTTGATAATGCCCACTCAAAGTATGAAAGAGAAGTGCCAGGATAATGCTGTAATGCTAAAATGATAGCTTTGGATGGAAAAGTGGCAAAAACATAAGGAAAATATGTAAAAAAGGCAGAATATGGATATAATGTAGCTTCAAATACTTCAAGAATATTAGGAGATTGTTTAATAATAAGTTCCTCCATTTGAAACTCAATATGCAACGGCCGTTTACAATCTATAGAGATGTATCGTGTGGCTTGAAGATGAGCCAACTCTACAGCAGTTTTTTCGTAACCATTCATAAGAGCTGAAAGACGTAACGATCTCACACCACCTGGTTGAATTGTTTGTGGAGAAAATACAACATAGTTACTGAGTGTAATTACCAGTGCAAGGTAATTACTATCAGCCCCAGAGCGTTCTACTAATTTTTCAATAATATCAGCTTCCTTCATCCAATGCTCTTCTGCTAGTTTCTGAAGGACTAACTCCTCCTCTTCTTCCCCAGGGTTTGTTAAAGAAGATTTATTTTTAGTATGTATAACGGATGCAGAAGAAATAGGCCATGGAATTGCAAGTAGTAAATGTAGTAAATAAAGCGTTTTCATACAACAGTTTTCCCACTTTTCAGTAGTATCATGAAGAGACCATGTAAGAGCAAATCTTAGTACATTACGAAGAGCATTTACTATAACTTCTTCTTCAGTAAAGAACTTTCCAATAGTTTCTTTAGCACGACCAGATGCCAAGTGTAAATGAGTACAGCACGAGCCTATTCTTGAGAAATGTAAAACCACCTGAAATGGCCAGAGTAAAAGTCCAGCTTCAATCATCTGTTCCTCTAAGAAAGGAAGAAACTCTAGTACATTGGCGTAAATTTGAGAATGTTCTCCAACATGGAGAGCATGAACATTAAAGAGACGTATCAAGTGATTTACCCCTACACGAAATCGGTGGTAGTTATCTCTTAATGTTTTCTCTGTTATTTCACCTTCTTTCTCCATACTACCAATCTTGGAAGAACTAGTTACACTATTTTCACCAAGAGGAACTTTTTCTTCTTCTTTTTCTTCCTTTTCTAAAGAGGATGATATAGTTGAGTTTTCAATAGTTAATTTAATTTGGTCCTCTCTGTTTACCTTGTTGTCCAAACACTCATTCTCATTAGCAGTAGTACCCAGAGTTGTTGCTTCCGATAATATCATATTGTTGGATGAAGTTTCTCCGTTTGGAAAAGAGGAATTTGGAGAAGGATCACGTTTATCATTACTGTGTCTCTCATTACTATTATTATCATCATTGGCATTATCATTATTATCAGTACTATTGAGAGTAGAAGAAAAAGATGGTTCAGTAAATCCTACAGCTATTGTACTGTGTGAACTCGGCGCCAATGTCTGCTGCGGTATTTCACCATTTACTACTTTTCTGCGGCGCGTCACGAGAAGCACCTTCTTCTTCACTATTCTCTTTCGTCGGACCATAGTACTTATTTTAAGAGAAGAGGAAGTAGTAATGAGATCATTATTATTATTATTATTATCGTTATTATTATCATTATTATTGTCGTTATTGTACACTGTTTTTGAGATTCCCACTGGTTCCAGTGATGGGGGCTCTAATGTGTTAGTAGAAGTATCATCACTGCCGTGTTGAGATTGCATCCCATCCCTTACTAAAGGAACACACATAAGGTGATCATTTGAGCATAACACTAATGCCCATGAAGAGAGAAGTACGGTGGAAACAACAGAAAAATCTGTAAAACGTCGTGTTACCTGAAAAATATCTTCAGACGTTAAAACTAAGATACCAACAAAATTCTTCCCTTCTGACCATAAAAATATGGGAAACTGTAACCTCTCTACACTTTCCTCAGTTCCTATATGATTGTCCGTACTTTCAGATGTATTTCTTAGCAATGATGATGATGATGATGATGGCATCGATAGTATTAGAAGAGGTTTCATTATGCCTAACTCGACATCTTGGGGAATACGATATGTACGCGTAACCACACTAGCGGTAGTATCATATTCAAATATACGGGCATTATGCCGAGCCGCATACACTCTACCGTTAAGAGGCCAAACACAAGCCCCAAATACACCTTCCTCTCTTGGTTTACTTCCTATTGGGACTACATGCAGAGAATCATTCATATATGTAGCAACAACACTACGACGTAAAGAAGAAATAACAAATATATTATTCATCACATTCCATGAAATTTGTACAATTGGTGATTCTTCCTTCAACAAAATACACGGTGAAACTTCTTCTGTTGCGGAGACAGCCAATACAGTTCCGTCAAGGCAACCAACAAGAAATGTATCATTATCAATCCAGCAATGCGCTGTTGTACGATTTGTATACTGAAAAAATCCCTCATCCATGTGAAGTTCCACTGAGCGATATATATTCAAGTTATTTTCTCCTTCATGTATTTTATCCGAAGAGTTGAATTTTAAAAACGTCACAGTGTGACGACCATGTAAAACCGATAAAAGTGTCTCTTCCATTGAAGTCAAAGGACAAGCACAAATACAATCTATCATAAGAGAATCAAGTGAATCTGTACTATTTATTTCACTCTGCTCTAAATTAAAACCAGTAGAATTCAATATTTTCTTGTTAGCAACAACCTGCATGGAAAGAGATTGGTGGTTCATACAACAAACAGTGATTTCACCGCCAATGTGACCAAAGAAGAGATGAGATTCCGTTGCTGAAAAGCTACAACATGGTGAGTTACCAGGACATGGAATAAAACGAACAGCTTCGTCACCCAAGTTAATTCCATAATCGATCATTATTCGATTCACCCCCAACTGTTTACCACTACAGTCTTTCTTTCTTCTTTTATTTTTTGTTGTTGTTTGACGTTCTTTCTTGAAACACCCTGCACCTAGAAAAAAAAAAGGAAAAAAAAAAAAGAAAGAAAGGAAACTTAGTAAGAATTGACAAGAAAAACAAAATATAATAATTACAGTTCCAAAAAAAATAATAATAATAAAATTATTCTTTTACTCAGACATGCATATTATCATATTTTTTTATTGTTTTATGGTATTACCCATACCAAAAACGCAAAAAGACAGACGCAGCTTAAGTATTAAGTTTTTTTTTTTTTTCTTTTCCTTTCCCCAACCACCACGGTCTACCAAACCAACTTTCCACAAAGCCGCACGGTTGCTTCGCTAGCAATATAGTCAAGTGAGAAGTAAAGAAAGAGACGAAAAGAAGAAAAAAAAAAAAAACAAAGTGTGTATGTGCGTGTAAAAGACATCAAAAGGGGAAAAAAAAGGAAAACGACACGTACAAATATTAAGACTTAGTAAGTGCTTTTATGCAGAAAAAAAAAAAAACATGAAATTCTGGTATTTTCGTAACTGTCAGACGTAGGGCACTAAGGTGATAACTAACACAGTTAATAAGATTGTAGTAAAGTAATAACATAATGCATTCTTCATCGTTTACTCACATGCTTGTGTGCATCTGCAGCAGTTCTTTCTTTTTTTTTTTTTTTTTTTGTACTCACCAACAACACCCAGCCCTATATAAGCAATCTGATAATTAAAATAAGGAAGGTAACGAACTAAAATCAATATAAAAAAAAAAAAATCACAATTGAGTTTTGGTAACACGCGTGTATTATTCCAGGTCCAAAGATGTGGAATATGAGTTATATTTATTTCTGTTAATCTCTTTCCTTTTCTTTATTTTTTTCTTTTTCTTTTTTCTTCAGAGAGAGAGCAACGCACATAGACACATTTTTTTTTTTTCTTCCCTTTTTCTTTCTGCCTTCTCAGTTTGCTTACTTTATTTGATGTTCCAAACCCATAATTTTTGATTTTTGTTATTTTCTATTTTTTTTTTCATTTCCGTTTCAATTCTTTCTTTCTTTCCTTTTTTTTTTTTTTGCATCCTTCTATTATTTTGTTCTTTCAATGCGAAACGTAATAGCACGCCTACATCCACAGCAGTGAAGAAAAAAAAACAAAAAAAGAGTGAATGCTAATATAGTTTCAAGTGCCGTCTTCGGTATTTATGCATACTTATTTACAAGGCACCGCGGATCTTTTCGCGAAGAACATACTGTAGAATACCACCATTTTCCACATACTTTACCTCCATATCAGTATCAATGCGGAGGATCGTCTTGAAGGAGGTGCCATCATCCTTCCGCACTGTTATCTCTTGTCCAGGACTCATGTTTGCGGAGAAGTCAAAGCTGAACTTTTCTTTTCCTGTGAGCCCCAGTGAAGAAGCACTTTCACCTGATTTAAATTGAAGTGGAATAATACCCATTCCAACAAGGTTAGAACGATGAATACGTTCAAAACTCTCTGCAATGACCACCTTAATACCTTGTAAATAAGGTCCCTTAGCAGCCCAGTCACGTGAGGAACCACTGCCATATTCTTTACCAGCAATGATAATAAGTGGCGTTTTTTCCTGCATGTACTTTACGGCAGCATCAAATATGTACATCTTCTCATTTGTTGGCCAATGAATGGTAAAAGGTCCCGTCTGGCCTTCACCGACAATTCGATTACCCAGACGTGTGTTAGCAAATGTACCCCGTACCATCACGAGATCATTACCACGACGAGAACCATATGTATTAAAGTCTTTACGTTCAACTCCATGATCCATAAGAAATTTAGCAGCAGGTGAATCCTTCGCAATATTACCTGCTGGAGAAATATGGTCAGTAGTAATAGAATCTCCAAAAAGTGCCAAACAAACAGCATCCTTGATAGCTCCCGTTGGTGTAATATCCATAGTCATAGAGTCAAAATATGGTGGGTGGTGAATATATGTAGACTTAGGTTGCCATTCGTACAATTTACCTTCCTTTACTTTAAGTGCATTCCATTGTTCATTAAGTGTTGTAATACTGGCATATACAGACTTAAAAAGATCAGGTGTTACATACTTCTGTACAACCTCTGCTATCTCTTCATTAGTAGGCCAAATATCTCGAAGATAAACACCGTTCACAATAGGTTCTGTAGCAAAATCAATATTGACATTTCCTGCTAATGCGTATGCCACAACTAGTGGAGGTGATGCCAAATAGTTTGCAGCAGTTTGTGGATGAATTCTGGCCTCAAAATTACGATTACCAGAAAGTACGGCTGCAGCAACAAAATTATTATCACTTATACATTTTGAGACTGCTGGATCAATCTCTCCAGAGTTACCAATGCAAGTCATACAACCATATCCAGTAGTATTAAATCCCAGTTCATCCAAAAACTTTTGTAATCCAGAAGCTTCCAGATACTTGGTTACGACGTGTGATCCAGGTGAAAGGGATGTCTTAATTCCTGGTGGAACAGTTAATCCCTTTTCAACTGCTTTTTTAGCAAGTAATCCAGCTGCCACAAGAACATTTGGATTAGAAGTATTAGTACATGAAGTAATGGCCGCAATAACAACGCTACCATGACGCATTTCTGCTTCCTTACCATTTACCATGTACTTTTTCACCTTATTATGATCTTCTGCAGGAATACCAAATCCTTTAAAACCAGTCTTTGCTCCAAGACATGCGTTGAAATCTTCTTTCATGTTCTTTAGAGGCACATAATCGTGTGGACGTTTAGGACCTGCAAGAGAAGGTTCCACTGTAGAAAGATCAAGTTCGAGATTTTCTGAATACTCAATATTTTCACTTCCAGTTCGGAACATTTTAACAGCTCTAGCATAGTTTTCAATACGTGCAAGGTGTTCAGGACTGCGACTTGTGCAACGAAGGTAATTAATGGTTTCCTTATCAATTGGGAAAAATCCAGTGGTAGCACCATACTCTGGTGCCATATTCGCCAAAGTTGCGCGGTCAGGAAGAGAGAGGGTGTCCACTCCTGGACCGTAAAACTCGACAAACTTACCCACCACACCAAGTTTACGAAGATTTTTCACAACAGTGAGTACAAGATCTGTTGCTGTGCAACCTTCTGGGAGTTTCCCTGTAAAGCGATATCCCACCACTTGTGGTAACACCATGGAGAGAGATTGACCCAGCATACCAGCCTCTGCCTCAATACCACCAACACCCCAACCAACAACACCAACACCATTCACCATAGTGGTGTGAGAATCTGTACCAACAACAGAGTCAGGGTATAACATTCCCTTATTGTTAAATACGACACGGGCAAGGTATTCAAGATTAACTTGGTGTACAATACCAGATCCAGGAGGTACAATAAGAAGATTGTCAAAGGCATTAGAACCCCATTTAAGAAACTCAAAACGCTCACGATTGCGGGACATTTCAATATCTTGATTCTCCTTTGCCGCTGATGGGGTGCCGTATTTATCAACCTGAACTGAATGATCAACAACAAGTTCCACAGGAATTTGCGGATTAATCTTATTCAAATCTCCTCCCAAATGCTTTGTAGCATCTCGCATCGCAGCCAAATCAACCACGCAAGGTACACCGGTGAAATCTTGAAGAACAACACGAGCAGGTTTAAAAGGAATTTCAATACTCCTGTGACAATTATCTTTCCAATTTAATATATTTTCCACAGTCCTTGATGTAATGTCAAACTCGTCACAATTGCGGACCGCTGACTCGAGAAGAACACGAATAGAAAAAGGCAAAGTTTCATATTTAGAATCGATCTCGGGTAATTTAAAATATTTGGCTTGCTCTCCGTCTGCTGAGAGTGTTGCGAGATACTTTGTAAAGGGGTTCGCCTGAGGTCCACCAGACCTTGTGATATTTGTGGCTCGAAACATTTTTCTCTTTTTTTTTTTTTTTTTACCTTTTTCCGAGAAAACTATAAGTCTTCTATTTTGTTTTTGTTTTTTTTTTGTTGTTCTTGTTGGCTAATATACTGGAATCACTACAGTTTGGAATTTTGATTACATAAAAATATGTCATGTTACAATAAGAGAATAAGCATTAAAGGGGGTGTGTTGAGAAGGTAGAAGATAAAAAAAAAAAAAAAAAAAACAAGAGAAAGAGAGAGAAATCTGCCTACTATTGGGTTAGGTAATACGAAAAGCAAGACAAACAGTAAATATAAAACAAAAAAGGAAACTCATTTCTTTTCCAAAGATATTCAAAGTGTAAAAAAAAAAAGTAGTATAGTACAAAAAAAAAAAAAAAAAATAAAAATTAAATTCAAGAGAACAATATAAATGTACAGAAAATTCTAATGAGGTCTCTCTCTCTCTCTCTCTCTCTCTCTCTCTCTCTCTCTATCTAATCATCTACTTATCTTTTATTGTTGAATTCTTGCCAGTTCATTCGTTAACTGTTTGTTTCTTCTCATAGAATCGTTGAGTTGCTGGTGTAAAGATTCCACTTGACTACTGTAGAGTGCTACTATGTCTGATCCACGACGGCGCTCAGCTTCTAATTCATGACGCGTTTGTTGAAGTTGTCGCTCCAGCGTTAATTCCTGAGCCGCACTCTCAGTACCACAAACTTCTAACTGTGTCATCAATGCCTTCTCACGACTTTCCGCTTCTCTCAATGCGCTACGTAACGTTAGTACCTCTGCTTCCAGTACATTCTTAACCTCAGAGTTCATTCTTTCTTTCCCCTCTTGTTCACGAAAATCAGAGTTATGCACTTTGGACTGCGACAGAAGGAGAGCATCGCGTTCCTTCTCTACCCATTCTTTTTCACGGGTGATTGCACGAAGCGTTGCCTCAAGTTCCTCCACTGCGTGAGCGAGTTCCTGAACCTTCTGCAGGGCATCTTGCTCTCCCTGCATGTGATTTTCAACACACTCCTCCCATCGTTCTTGAGCAACACGAAAACGTTCTCTCCATTGATTATCGTTATCAGATAAACGAGTACTCCACTCCTTTTGTATTTTTTCACGTTCCTGAGTAGCCACAAGACGTGTAGACTCCTCCATATTTTGTACACGAGTAGATAATTCCATATTCTCTACTCGAAGGTTTGACAAAGCTTCTTGAAACCTCTGACGACGAGAACGTTCCTCTTCACGCCATTTTTCTTCAACACTTCTTAATCTCTTGGCAATTTCTTCTTCAGTACGCTGATGTATTTCTGCTACCATACCTTCCATTTGTTTAAGTTTAGCGCGCAAACCATCCACTTCCTTTCGATAAGAAAGTTTCTCTACCCCAGTGAGTGAGGTAGCACGTTCAATAGTTGATACTTCACGTGAGCGTCTCACCACAATAAGAGGCCCTAAGTTTCTTGCTCGCTTTAACGAACAAGATTCAAGGGATATATTTGTGTCAATTGGAACTAGAGCTTGTACCTTAGTTGAGTTTTTAATGTTATTTTGATCTTGTTCTGTCTTTGCAATACCATATTTATAAACTGGATGATAACGACAAGAGTAGTCATCAGTCGTTTTAACTGCAGCAGTGTCAACCGCATCCGAACGCATTGAGGAGTTTAAGTCTGACGAGGGTGGAAAAGGTGGTAACCACTGATGATCAACGTTCATTACTGGTTGTGATAATGTAGGAGATAATGGTGGAATTTGTTCTTGTCTTCGCATTGCATCAGTGGTAGAAGTCAACGTGGTAATGATAACGCAATTACCATCAACGTTCTCTACTTCCGTATACGAGGTAGATGCACTCATATTGTTCTGGAGGAGGGGATAAAGGAGACACTTTCCACCTTCAGTTCTACACACAAAGACGTATACCTCCCTAGTACATAAGAAGAAAAAGAAAAGAAAAAGAAGAAAAAGAAAAGAAAAAAAAAAGTTCTGCAGAAAAAAAGTAAAGAAAAACAAAAATAGTCCAAGTTTCAATAACAATATTAATATAAAAAAAAAAAAAAAATCATGACATGGGGGAAAAACGAAGTGAGAGTTAATTAATCCTAAATCTCTTGCTCACATGAAATCAAACATCTATCAAGTGCACGTTATTCTCCTGAATAACAGCACAAAAGCCGACACAATGCAAAAACCGTTTTAAAAGAAAAGAAAAAGAGAGAAAATAAAAGGAACAAAAAACCCCTAGAAAGTATTTATTCTTTTATCATTTCTTTTAATTCTTTTTCACTTTCAGGATAATCGTGGTCAATTGCAAAGGTGGTAAATCTCTATTCATAACTTTATCAATGACAACCTAAAAATCATCATCATCCTCATCTACATCCATATCATCATCTTGGTCATCATCATCATCAAATGAAGAGTATGAACCCTCTGATGCCACTCTCACTGCAGTTGATAAACTTGTCGCTGTTGGAACCAGCTTCTTCTGCGAATCAGTACCAAAATCCACCGCTGCTGTTACTCCAGGAACCACTTTGACGGCGGGGATTACTTCTTTTTTTGTGGTAGGAAGAGTATTAACATTATCCTCTTTGTCGCTGGATTCTGCAGCTGCCTCTGTCCAAATGCGAGCACCTGTCTTAATGTTATAACTTTTATTTTGGCCTGATTCTGAACTTGAAGCCGGTTTCATTCGTCCCTCAAGAAGATCTTCAATTTCTGGTGGGCACTCAGGTGTACCCTTATCGTGACAACGGTCATGCATTAGAAGTCCATGATTCGGGTATACAACAGTTAAGTGTGGTTTGGGAAGTTTCTGATCATCCTCAGTAAAATCATATACATGTACAAAACGGTTCATCTTGGGGTCTAAACGAGCAGCTTTAAAAGTATTATTAAGACCAGGAAGTCGCAAGTGAAAAGGTTTAAAAATTATATGATGACTTGCCTCTATTACGGGATCGGTCGAAGTAAATATACGGAACTCGATATTTTCACAGTCACGAGTACGTAACTGTTTACAAGCCACATGTACAATCATATTCTTGCAGTTACGCAAAAATACGCTACCCTCGCAAGCAGCAATAACAAGTTCACCACCCTCACAATCATCCACTGTAATGCTATCAAGTGGATCCAATACGTACACTGTGCAATCTTTAAGATACTCAAGCTGGATTTGTTGACCGGTTACTTGCCCTCCATGGCGATAAAATTCTCGACCTGACCACTTGGACAAAAAGTAAGTAGTGTCCTCACCACCTTCCTCAACCTTTGGTATCTTGGCAAGAACTGCAGCAGAATTGGTATTTACAATATTATTGTCGTTTGAACTCTTCTCATTTTGATTATTTGAAACCAAATTATTTCCAAGTGTTCGAATTAGTGTTGTTAAAACAGGAACATCGTTATTGGAAATATTGAGCGCACGGGTACTTTCCTTATTTTCTTCCATAGCACTATCTTTTAGGTTGGCTTCATGTTTCAGAACATTCAAAGTGTATGTTAAACCCAAGTACTCCAGGTATTCTGAAAGGATACCAAGAGCCTGTCGACCCTCCAAAGTTTCTTTTGATGCCTGTAGTACAGGACTAGGCATAAACAACTTGGCAGACTTTTCTGCATCATTGGAAAAAGAACTGATTGCGGCATCAATCACCATTGCTCGCATTTTTCCCAATTCACCTGAAGCCTCTAACTTCTCACGAATAACTTTCTCCGTCACAGGTTCAGTCATATTAAACATTTCTACTGATCTTGTGGAGTTTTCAAGGAAAAAAAAAAATATTAACTACACCTCTGCATAGAGAAGAGTAAGGGTATACAAAAAAAAAAAAAGATATATAAATAGATAAAGAAGAAAAAAAAAAAAAAACTGTTTTTTTTTTTTTTTCTCATGTAATGGACACATTACATGTTTTCACGCAGAATAGAATAGAATAGAATAGAATAGAAAAGAAAAAAACATAATACATAAAAAAAAAAAAAACATGAGATAAAACCGCATAAAAGGAAATAAAAATATCACACAACTCTGCATAAACACGCACACCAAATTAAAAAAAAAAAAAACCAAAATTGGTAAAAACACAAGAGAAACAATCAACGAGTATGTTATGATAGTTTAACCAACGATTTTACTTCCGCTTCAGTAGATCCCTCATTTTTTCTTGACCGAGAACGAAAGACGTCCCTCTCCATAAGTAATTTAGCCAAATTAGCGCGAACACCAGAATTTAGTTTTTCAGGCTCTCGGTCATATTGATAAAAGATAAATCCCACCGAAAAGAGATAAAGAAGAAATACGGTGTCATGACGAGGGTAAGGTATTCTACCCAAACGATACTGAGTCATAACGAAAGAACGAAGTGCGTACGTCAAACAATACAAAGCCAAATCCATTCGCCTCCCTTTAGGCTCAAGTAAAGTTGCAACACCTGCAAGAGAACACATTATGGCAAAAAAAAATCCTCCACGAATGTTTCCTTGAGCTGCAAAACACGCAAATCTAACAGTACTCGCAGAATATAATGCCAAAAACAGTGCACTTAAGAGAGCTGATCGCAGCATATTTTGCAAAACTTTTAAAGGGTGATGTTTTAAATCATTTCGCTTAAATGCAATGATTGCTCCAAGTTTCAATGGAACATAAAGCGGCATACCAACCCAAAGAATTTGTTTCATAAGGAAAGAAAAAAAGAATCTATTGCACGTCATCCCTGGGTGAGAGTATAAACAACCTATCTTAAAATGTTCTTTGGCACTTTGAGGGATTTTGAAACCTTTTTCCACACATAATTCCACAAGTTCTGGGGTTATTTGATATCGAGCAAGACCGGCATGGCCTCGAACTACACGATTATCAAGCATAGCTGCTTTCAAGAGAAAACGTTGATATGCTGGGGGCATCGTAAATGGGGCAAAAATAACACTATACAAAATCTGAGAAGCACTTAAGCACATAGTTATAATATCATAGTGCTCAAATCTTCTACAAGGCTCAGGTAAAATAGGTAGAATGTATCCGACAGAAAAACTATGTAACGCTCGTACAAAGACGTAGAGAGACAAATCTGTTCGTGTTTCCCTATTCATAGCCAAAGACGGCAAAGCACATATGCAGCCTGCGAGCACAGAAGCAAGCTTTTCAGTTATACCAAAGTAATGACACAATACAGAAAGAATCTCTTTTACTAAACGAAAACTGGAGAGACCACCCAAGAGAAAGGCCCATCTTAGTGGATCAAGTGAAAAAATCTCTCCAGAAAGTTGCTTAATGACTCTAATACGCAATCCTCCCTTTCCCAAACGTTTGAGTACACCAAATAGTATCCTTCCTATGGCGGCATATAACGCATTCCGCGCTATGGCGTAAAGCACATGCTTTACAAGAGATTTATGTTGTTTCCTTTCGTTATTCGATTTCTTATGAGTCATAGGAGACCACGTCTTACTATTTAAACTAAGAGAGCAAAGTATACAAAAATAAGAAGACGAAAAACAATAAAGGAAAGAAAAAAAATTTTAAAGAAAAAGAAAAAAAAAAGCAATTTTCTAAATGTCAACAACATATATAACAAGAGAGAAACATAGAAAAAAATAATGAGAGTGGGGGTCATATAAATAAAATATATTATATATACGCCCAAAAGAATAGTTGTTTTCTAGTTTACCAGAAAAAGGTACTCTTTTCAATATCAATCATATCTTCAAAAACGTCCCGAACAACTATCATCTCACCATCTTCAACAAATCTTGATGTAGCCAATGCAATATTCTCAGCATCTGCAACAACGAAACGTTCCCTCCTTTCTCGTTCTTTTCTTCTCTTCTCACGACGCTCATTTCTCTTACGTTCCGCATTCTCTTCTTGTGCTTTCTTCCATGCTTCTTCCCTTATTCTGGCATTCTCTTCTGCTTTTCTCTTCTCCTCAAGAATTTTATTCTTTTCTTCTGAATCATCAATTTCTAGGGAAATGATAGCAAGACTGTGTCGCTGTGAATTTAAAGGAATAAAATCAAACATAGCAACAATATGACTATCATTGACCTTCATAAGGGATACATAAGAAGATGTCAAACAAGACTTACCGTCTTTACAGTCATTGGCAAAATTTTCAGGAATTTGACTAGAACCTGTTACATTCTTGTACAAGTCTATTAAATTCAATACCTTTTTCTTTGAATTACCATTAACAGTTGCAGTTAATTTCAACGGGACAGATATATTCGTCATACCACTTTCAATAACGACACCACTACTAAAGACGACAGATGCAGGTGGTACAGAAACGTTAAGAGACTTAATAGAATCCCACCATCTCCCCTTGTGACCTGAAGAAACAAAATGATGTTCACTTGAAGTAAAGTTTGATATTTTAATTTTTTGACGTGCTTCCCTTATAATAGCAGATTTCTCATTAACCTCAAGTGGCACTTCGCTTGACGCCTTCCAAGTATAACCATCTGTTGAGGCAAATAGAATATGGTTCGTTGAGGAGTCTGCGTGAGTGACAACAGCATTCATAAAATATGTATTATCCTCTGGAAAATGAATAGAATTCCCTTTAAATTCAATTTTAACCATCTCTTCTCCAGGCCAATAAACAAACGACAACATGGTACCTTCTTCCACAGTTTCAACAAGAGAAGATTGTCCTTCGTAAGAGACAACAGTAAAGTTAGTAGCACTCGCATTGACAGAAACATTATTTAATGGACAAAGAAGTTTACCATCAACAACAACACCTCTATTACCACAAAAAGGAAACTTTGTTTGATGAATTGAAAAATGTTTGCCATAATCAAATGTACAAACAGCTACGGTTTCATTCACACAGTTCTCACAATCCCCTTGGTTTGCACGCGCACAAGCAACACCTTCTTTCAACATGATACCACCTGATGGTTGCCAAATTCCATTTTCTGAGCTTAAAAGTGCAGATTCTAACGGTAAAACAGTAAAAGCTTCACAATTGGAAAGTGCGAAGGCACACATTAAAAGAGCAAGATAATAAACAAACATTTTCTTGGTTCGTATCTAGATGAGAATAAGGCTTTAAATATCAATTCCTTTCTTGAAACAAAAAAAAAGGTAACAAACACAGACGAAGAAAACAACAACAACAACAACAAAAAAAAAAAACAATACAATCACCACTAAATCGAATACAAAAAAAAAAAAAAAAAACATTATGAATGCAGTCACTCCAGATTGTGCTTCAAGGTGACAAACACAAAGCAGAGATGGCTTGAGAACGAAAAATAAAAGAAAAATAAGAAATGTCGAACGTCTAACACCACGCTAAAAATATTAACACTTCTGTACGTTTGTTACCTTAAGAGAAACATAAGGAAATTCATACTGAAGTGCACCAACGTCAGTTGACGGTTCATTTGCTAAAGGGGTAATTAAGTTGGGATACAACTGTGCTATTTTTTTTCGTATTTCACCTTCCTTTTTAGCGTCCACTTGTAAAACAACCGATATACAGCGAGGAGGCAATCCATACTTGAGTAAACTCTCAACAAAGACACGCAAAGCTTTAACATGCACCCATGCCACGTAACAAACCGAGTATTGTTGCCAAAGAACAGTATAAAGAGTTTTTCGTTCTTTTTCCGCTTTCTGTGTCAACTCTTTCATTTCAGCAACTGATAAATCATCAACACCTTCAACATCTCGAACGATACATCTCTTTTTTCGACATGCCATTTTTATGTCGTCCATTGCTTTACGAAATGCAACAATACTGTTCAGCACATATTCCTTATCTTCAGCAACGACACGGTTTGACTGAGGGCAAACAAACTCATTTAGTGACCAATAAGTTTCAACCCATTCTTTTTGTAATGGTAAAGGAACTGCAACAAACAATGTTATAAGCATTTCTGTATCGACAAAACAATGATGTTGTTCATTATATGAAGCAACCAATTCTCGAATAGGCTTTACAGATAAATTGCCTTGATTTTTCTTACTTGCCGCATTTAATTTGTTTCGAGTATCATTGTACTCTGTAAGCATAACACGTACACGTTCCTCTGTAGAAGAAGAGATTTGTGAAAGTTTTTCTATTAAAGTTTGAACCTTCTCCTTTGTATCAAATTGAGCTGAATTCCAGAGAAAATTCTTTATATATCCAGCGGGTGTCATTTCTTGAGTTTGATTTATTCGTAGGGCAGTTACAACACTTCGAGGTTTCTGAGAAACTTCTTCCATCAAACCAATTAGCTTCTCAACTGTGCCCTCAAACTGTGGATCAAGCTTAGCCAATTCATCACTTGCTTCAATCAATGAATCCAGAGTTCCTACTTTTAAATTAGGAACAACAAATTGGCGGAGTGCTTGACCAAGAGGTCCCATCTGGGTCACAAGGTACTTAAATTGTGAAGAGGGAAGTGTGTCTGCACATTGTTGAAAAAAAGGAAGTCCTAGAATAAGAAAATTATCCGACATGGTTTTGTTTCACTACTTCTACTAGGGGTAAAAACAAAAAAAAAAATATAAAAAATAAAAAAAAAAATAAATAATAAAAAAATAAGAAAAGGTAACACTTAAATAAATTATGCAGAGCAAACCATTTTTTTTTTTTTTTTACCATACAAGGAACAAAATGTAAGAAAAACAACCGAAACGTGATTAAAAACAAAAAAAAAAAAAAACACACACACACAAACACAAACTCGCCAACAATAACAGACCCCCGGGGGGGAAGGATGGCGCCAGGCAAGACCCGTGGCACCCAAACGCCTACAACCCACCGAAAGAGAAAAAAATATATTTACGGACCACCTCCCTGCCCGCCTGCGCCCGTGCCCGTGCCAGGGACCTCCCCGCCCCTCCCTCTCTCTCTCTCTCTCCCTCCCTCTTTCGCGTCCCCGCGGTTGTTTTCTTGCCGGCGGGAGTGTGTGGGTTCGGACCGGGCCGGGGCCGCGGGGAAGGTTGGCGAGCAATCGGCGTTGTTTTTTTTTTTTTTTTTTTCACATTCCCATTGGTTACGTTCCTATTTTGGGTGTTGGATCTTCTGTTTGTTTGTTTGTTTGTTTGTTTTTCTTGTGATTAGATAATGTTCTTTTGGGTTTTGTTTTTCGTGTATGGTATTATACTTTGGTTTCATTTTTTTTTTTTTTTTGTGCTTGTTTTTTTATTGTTCTTTTTACCCCTCTTCTCTTTAGTTGCTGTGTTTGTATAGTTTTTTCCGTGATGGAGTTTCTTGCCCTTGAGGATGGAACAATTCGTGATGAACGTTACAGAATTAGCGAAATAGTTGAGGAACCGTTTCAAAAGGTCCGAAAAGTATATCTACAGGAACCAGCTGTTAGCACTTCTAAATATAACGTTACTCAAGAAAATGGTCAATCTTCTGATGTATTGAGCTTTACTTATAGTCCTAGAGAGGTGAAATTTGAGGATTTTACCGTCGGTGAAACTTACAATATAGTTATAACACTAACTAACTGTACAAATCGTATAGCGAGTTTCCGAGTTTTACCAATATCTCCAAAGTATAGGGATGAAATTCATATTGAGTATGTTCCTCCACCAAAACTTTCGGCAGGTTTATCATGGAAAGTAAAAGTTATTTTTACCCCTGTGCAAAATGTGGATTTTGAAACTTCAATTACTTTTAGAACTGAACATGGTATTTTTTTTGTTCCTGTTAAGGTCATAAAAAAGAGGTCTATCTTATCATATTATCCAGAAAGCCTTGATTTTGGTGTTGTTGTTTTTGGTGAGAGAGTAACCAAAAAGTTAACATTACGAAATGATGGAGCGCTTCCTGCAAAGGTTTTTGTTTCAGGATCATTACGTAAATGGATTGAAGTACTTCATAAGGAACCTCAAAGTGGACGAGAAAACCCTGTTATAAGTATAAAAATTCCTGGTTATCAATTGGTAGTAAATCCATTTTCTACCTGTGTAATAGAAGTTACGTTTGCACCTCATCAAGATGTCACTATTGATGATGAAATTGAGCTTAAGTATGAATCTGAAGAAAAAGTTCATATTCGGAAAATACCTGTAAAAGGTAGTGGGGGTTCACTTCCTGTTTACCTATCTTCTGCACGTGAAATAAATTTTGATTGGTGTTTTTATGGAAATACGTACTGTGAAAAGACTATTATTACTAATACTACAAATGTCTCTGTGACAGTAGTTCCTAATATACCTTCATTTTTGTCCTCTTCTCTGGTTTTTAAACCTGAAACAGCTTGTGTTCAAGCAAATGATACATTTGAGTTGTATGTTTTATTTACACCCCAGCGCGGACTTGACTCTGTTATTTCTTCAGTTATAATGTTGTCTGTTTCCGGACAGGTATCACCTATCTTAATGACCTTAAAGGCGCAACTAACTGAGCGAGGTTTTTCATTAGAACAGAATAAATTAGACTATGGTGTAAGTGGACCTAATGAGGAGATTATTATTCCTTTAAGGGTAAAGAATCTTTCAGATTTACCTCAAAATATAGGATTTTTAAAACTTCCAGAAAATGTAAATATTATGCCGTTTAGAACCTTTACTATGCTTCCACGAGAAATATTCGATCTTGAAGTTGGAGTACGACCTCCTACTTTAGGTCAATATACTCAAGTGATTAAAATAACTAATGAATATGGGGATTCTCGTACTGTTCAACTTGTGGGATGTGGACGTGAGTATAGTATGCGATTCTCTAAATCATGTGTTAGTTTACCAGTTTGTCCTATAAATGGTGAAACTACATGTACAACCGTTTTGCAAAATTTGAGTTTATCCTTCCGAAAGTTTTCTTTGTTTTCTCCTAATGATGCGTTGAAAGTTTCTCCTTCAACAGGTGTTTTATCTCCTGGAGAAAGTATTCCAATTGTAATTATGTTTAAGGCACCTGATGTTCTACCTGTTACATTGCCTGTTGAAGAAGTAGTGGCTCGCCCAACCCCGAAATTATCGGGTAAAAAAGGAAAAGATCGTGATGTTCATAATACGTTAGAAAAGCCTCCTGAAACTGTGTTACCTGATATTGATGCATTATATAAGGATTGGGATAGTAATTCTCCTGATGAAATATGGAGTAGGCATTCAACTTTTTTTGTAAAATGTGTTGACGGGACAGAGACTGAGAAACAGATTATATTACTTCAAGTTAACTGTACGGTGATTAAACCATTACTTGTTGCGGGATTTCTTTCGCGAATTACTCCGATAATTTCTTCTAAAAGTGAAATGTCGAAACGAAATTTAAAAAAGAAAGTCCCAGTGCAGAATAATGTTATGGATCAAACTCCTGTTTTAGAAATTTCACCTATGAGTACAAGTTTAGTTATAGAATTTGGTGAAATACCACTTAAACAACAGGCTGAAAGAGGATGTTTGCTACGTTACACTGGTGAAAATGATATTGGTTTACAAGTAAGACCTTTAGATACATTGTCTCCTTTTAGAATAGTAAAACTACCAAATGAACAGTTATCTAAAAATGAAGAATGTACAATGAGTATAAGGTTTATTCCTACAGAGTATGGTTCATATAAAGACAAAATTATTATTTCTTCTATTGGGGCAAATGATATTAGCATGTCTTTATTAGGTGTTTGTCGTCCTGCTGATTTATTTATTACTAAGGATCGTGACATCACTGAAGACCAAATTCATTCTATTAATCATTTTGTCTTTGATCCCGTTCAACTTGGACAAGAATCTCGACAACAATTGTTTTTTCATAACTTGACATCATTACCTATTGAAGTAAATTCTAAATTTGTAACAAGTGAAGGTGGGGAACCGCAATGGCCAGAATCTCATTCCTTTTTGATAGAATGTGATAAATTTACTATTCCCGGAAACTGCAAGATGAGTACAGGTATTATTTTTTGTCCCAAAGTGATTGGAAATATGTGTTTAACCCTTCAAATTGTTGCAGGTGCATTTAAACATAATATAGTTCTAGAGGGACGTTCTTGTGAAAAATTTGTCTATTTTACTTTTCCAGGACATAATAAGCCTATAGAAGAAGATTCTATACAATACACTGGGATACAACCAAACATTTTTCCTTCAGAAGGTATGTCTGTATTTTATCCTGTACAATTTAATTGTGTAGCAGAAGAGGTTAAAACGATAAGAGTTGGTTGCGTCAAGTATGGGACAAACTTTGAATGTATTGTTAATGGTTGGAGTGAAACTTACCTTGAAAACGGATGGAGATTGGATCCAATGAAGGCCACTGTGACTGCTGGGGGTTATGTTACTTTTACCGTGACTTATCGTCCTAAGCGTGATGTTGGAGATGTTTCATTTTGCGCATTTTCTTTTGTTACTAAGTCTTCCAATCCTCAATCAGAAACCACGTGTCACGTTCGATGTACAGGAACTATGTAGATATATTTTGTTGTTATTTTCTTTTCAATGTTTTCAGTTTTACGAGTAAAAAAATGGTATGCTTAAAATATTAATATGGCTTATGGGGCCTTCTTGAAAATTTCGATTGCTTTTAATCTATCTTTTTTTTTCTTCTTCTTTTTCATGTTGCCTCTTACACTTGTATTTTCTTTATATACCAAGTGAATATAAGATTATAGAAAAAAAAAAAGAAAGGTAGACGTAACCTTGGGAACTAGAGCTACACATACACACACACGCTCTCTCTTTCTTTTTTTTTTTTTTTTCGCTCCTTCTCTCTTCAACATAGTGTTATTTCCCATCAAAAAAAAAAAAAAAAAAAAAAAAAACAATCCTCAAAATAAGAAAAAAAGAAAAAAAAAGAAGAGGAGAGTCAATAGAAAGGATTTATTTTATAAATCAGAGGGGTGTGTAGGGAAACAATGAATTACGCAACGGTACTTGGTGGACCGTTTTCATGTAACGCTCCTGGCAATAATAATAATAACGATCAATATTCCCGTTTGGGATATGCAACTGATATAACAGGACAACATTCTCAAATTATGCAACATCCGTCATTAAATCAAGCTCCCGGACAAGCTTTGAATGTATATCCACAGTTTTCACAACCCACGTCAATGAAAGACCCTAGAATGAATATTAATATAGGAAGTAAACTTTTCGTTGGCCAGGTTCCTGCCATGACTACTGAAGAACAATTACGCCCAGTGTTTGAACCGTATGGGAAGCTCTTAGAAGTAAAAATAATGCGTGATACTGTAGGACGTTCTAAAGGAAGCGCATGGGTTCGCTACGAAACCAATGAAATGGCTGTAAATGCTATTAATGCTCTTCATGAAAAACATACAGTTCCTCCTCAGACTAATCCATTACGTGTGCAATTTGCTACTCCTAACAGCGCAAAACACCAACAACAACAACAGGGAAAATATCCCCTCGGAATGAGAGGTCCAGCGAACCCATACAATTTTGGGGACCCAATGAGTAGCTCTGCAAAGCAACCTGGAATAGTTATGTTTCCACAAGGTACTTCACCAAGCATTATTTCCCCTATTGATCCAACTAGTGGGGCTCAGTACATGACTCAACCTTTTCCTGGTTCCATGGATCCTGCTCACATGATGACAGGACCATATACATCAAATTTAAGTCGTTTTGATAACGTCAATTTTCCAGATAACAGGCGAGAGGTGTACATTTCTCCACAACCACAGACCACGGCGACACAAGTGTATCAGCAGCAGAGAATTGGCTTTTCGCCAACCCCTGTCAGTCCTAACACTATCTATAATCAACAACCTTCCTTACCGCATGCATCAACCCGCAGTAATAGCGACAGTAAAAATGGTGGTGGTAGTGGTGCTTACTTGGGATCGTTCGATGCAAAACATGGGGTATGTGACTCCAATAATAACGACATTCAAACTATGGGAAATGATTTACCTGCATCTCTTGATCCTGGAGTTGCAATTTGGGAGTATCGGAACAACAATGATACACAGGGGCAGGAACAACGCGAACCAAGTACGCAAGTAAGAACGAGCGAAAGAAAAAACGAATGATAGCAATAAAAGAGAACCCCTACTGTTTGAGTGAGGATAGATAGAATTGCTAATGTTTTGACCTTTTATTTTTAATTCTTTTTTTTATTTTCTCAGGTATAATATGGACGTTTTCAGTAGGGTTTTGGGAAGGAGAATAGGTGGATCTGTCTGAGGAGTGCTATTAAAAACATATGCAGAGATTTTTTTTCTCTTTGATATCGTTAAAGATCTCGCATGATTTAGCAAGGGGTGGGATCAAGAAGTCTTTTTTGGATAGGTATGATTTCACCATCTTCATACGGGGTCCAGATCCCCTATCTTTGAACCAACATGATGAAAGAGTCGAAGAAAAAAAAAAGAGATGAAAGGCAAGAAAAAACGCAAAAAAGAGATGTGACCTGTTTGTGCCGCATGGGATGTATGACTGTAAGAAAACGTATATATATATATATATATATATATATATAAAGAAAGATGAATAGAGCTCTCACTTTTTTATTTCCAGAGCATTCTCTTATTTTCACTTTCTTCCATTCCCCTGTATTCTGAGAGAATGGAGTCTAGTTCTTTGACCACTTAAGAATGTGTAAATGTGAGTCTGTCTGCTGATTGGGTGTTTTTTAATTCTTTACTTCATTTTTTTTTTCCATTTTACTGCTTCTGGACATGTCTTTCTTTGTGTTTGTTTTTTTCTCCTCCTTTTGTGTTTTTGTTGTGCTAACCAAAACGTCATTGATCGCATATTGGACTGAAAAACGGAGGTGAAAGAGGAAAGGCGGGGATAAAAGTCGAAAAAGTCCTTCATATGGGATGTGAAGAACAGCATAGAAAAACAATCTAAAGGAATAAAAAACACTATTTCATGGTTCACATTTGTTTTTCATTATTTTGCTTGTTTTATTCATCTATATATTTGTTTTTTTTTACTGAATTCCTTCGTTTTTTTTTTTTCGGTTTTGTTTACTTGTGATATCTTTTTATTTGTGGTATGCTTTTTTTGCTCGGTTTGACGACGATAGTAATCGTTTAGCTGGGGTCATGAATGCATTATAGCTGGTGATTCTGATTATGGAAAGCAGTATGGTTCACAGGGAATTACAGAATAACTACAAAAAGAAGAGAGACATAATAGGATGCTTGTATATCGAAAGGAAGAAAGAGAAGAAACAAAAAAAAAAATAACGATACCCTCTGTATTTGCGTCTCTAAATGTGTGCGTGTGTCTCACATAGCGATTCATAGACATCCGAGTTACCAGGAGGATGTTAAAGCTATTATGCATACTTTTTTTTTTTTAATGCCTTTACTCTTTTTTTTTTGCGTGGTATTTACTCTTGCCGCAGGAGTGAGAATGGCGTACTTTTGAGGGCCTTTTTTTCTTCTTCTGCTTTACGTCATTATTGCAGTCCGAGCATATACCCTTGGACATGTATGACTCATATTTTACTCCTATTTTTCTGATTAGTATTGTTTTATTGTTATTCATTTTTTTTTTTTCTCCCATCTGTTGTTTGCTGCCTTTTCTTTGACCAATTCTTTTTTATTCCCAAGCTTGATTTCCCACTGATTTCTTATATTTTTTTTTTAATGCTTTTGCAGTAGATAGAACCCTTTCCTCTTTTTGCGATTACTCATGGTTCTACGTCTTGTGCTCAGCATGCTGACTGATTCTGCATTTGGGATTTATATGGAAGCAAGGGTGAGAAAGGAGTGATTGAAAGAGTGAAAAAAAAAATGTGAGAAAAAAAAGCTGGATATGTGAAAATAAAAAACGAAGGAAAGGAAATTGGAGACGATGAGAAAGCTAGATGAAAGAATAACACCATTGTTGATAGCTGAAGAGCCAGACAACACAGGAAGAAAAAGGAATTTTGTACAGAAATTGTGTTTTTTCTTTTCACTTGCTTTTTCTTTCTTTTTCACTTGCCTTTTCTTTCTTTTCAAATTTTTTTTTTTTTTTTTTT